TCATGTTTTGCGGTCCTAAGGGCGAAAGCAAATTCATTGACATAGTTATCCCAGCTTTTATGAAAATTTTTAACATAACTACGGATAATTTTCACTATATTTCTGTTGACCCGTTCCGCTATATTTGATTGCGGCCGATACGGGACCATTTTTAAATGACGTATGCCCAGTTTTTGGCACATGTCTTCAAATATATTACTTACAAATTGAGGACCATTATCCGATATAACTTTTAGGGGCGCCCCCGTATTTTAAAATATATTTATTTTAAATAGAATCGGTAACTAATTTCGCGGAGGCTCGTTTTAAGGGAACAATTTCGGTCCATTTACTAAAATGATCAACTATAACAAGGAGATAGCGACTTTTGTTTAACTGACTTTTTGGGAAAGGGCCCAATAAATCGATGCCGATTATTTCATTTGGAAATTCGGATTTAATACTATTTAGAAACCCGGCCGGGCGGAAATTAATATAATTAACGGCTTGACATGTTGGGCAGGACTGGACATACGCCCTTGTTAACTTTTGCAGTTCAGGAAAGTAGACTGCTGCCTACGCCTCGCGTACGCGTTGAGTAGTTTTTCGAATACCAGCATGAGAAGCTAAAGGGCTGTCATGGAGCTCTTGCAGGATATTTAATCTAAGACTAGCTGGGATAACAGGTCGAAATTCGTTGTTGGAATTCGTAGTTTTTGTATAAAATAATAGACCATCTATTAGTTCGTAATGGGCCGCCCTATTTCTTATCGCCACAATATCTTGGTGGCTAAAATTTTCAGGATCCTTCAAATACTCATAAATACTTCCAAACTCAGGATCCTTACCCAGTTCGGTTATTACAGTTTCTCGGGAATTTATTGTACACGCTGTCAGCATTGCAACTTTTACGGTATTACCCTGTTCGTCTAATTTTTAATTCGTGACAGGGCATCTGCTCTGCTACGATATTTTCCTTTCCGGGGGTATGCTTGATTACCAGATTATATTCTTGCAGCTTGAGTGCCCATCTTATTAACCTTGGGGATAAATTTTTTCCAGAGTACAATCTAGTTACCGCCGCATGATCAGAATATACTGTTATCGGCGCCTTTCCAAAATAGACTCGGAACTTTTGCACTGCTAACAGAACTGCAAGTGCCTCTCTCTCGGTCGCGGAATAGTTTCTTTGTGTTTGATTTAAAGTTCGGCTAAAAAATGCCACTGGCTGCTGATTTTGCGAAAGTACCGCTCCTACCGCATAATCCGAAGCATCCGCTGAAATTTCTAAATTTTCATCCTTTTCAGGAAATTTCAACACAGGGGCTTGCGTTAATGCTTGTTTTTAATTTTCGAAAGCACTATTGGCTTCGGCCGTCCACGAGAATCTTGCCTTTTTCCTTTTTAATTTTAACAATGGCTCAGCGATAGCCGCAAAATCTTTTATAAAGGACCTATAATATGAACAAAGTCCTAGAAAAGAAGAGAGCTTCTTTGCCGTGTTTGGAGTCGGATACTTTTGTACAGCGATTATTTTTGATTCATCTGTCTCGATCCCTTTTTGCGATATTTTGTAACCTAAATATTTTAATTCAGGGGCTGCAAATTTGCATTTTTCGACATTAACTTTTTAGACCGGCCTCATTTAATAAAGAAAACACCTGTCTTAAATCCTGTACATGTTGGTCTAGATTATCACTAGTAATAATGATATCGTCTAAATAGATAAATGTGGACTTTCCGAGAACAGGTCTTAACACAATGTCCATGCATCGCTGAAATGTTGCTGGGGGCGCCTGAAAGGCCAAACGGCATTCGCAAAAATGCATAAGTGCCAGACTTGGTTATAAAAGCAGTCTTAGGCACGTCCTCAGGCCTGATCCCTATTTGAAAATAACCATTCGTTAAGTCTAAAGTTGTCATAAATTTGGTTGATTTTATGTTCCTTAAAATTTCTTCATTTCTTCTATAATCGGTAACGGATATACCGGATATTTCGTTATGGAATTTAATTTACGGTAATCAATAGCGAATCTCCACCTTTTTGGATGCTCCAAAGGATAATCATTATTTTTCTTACATAAAACCACCGGACTAGCATAACTACTTGAGATAGGCGTTACGATCTTTTTTTACGTAGCATATCGGTAATATGCCATTCTATAATTTTTTCCTTATTCTTATCATACCGGTATGGTTTTTTGACGAACCGGCAATGCATCTCCGGTGTCAATACTATGGTTAGTAACCTGGGTAAATCCTGGAATATCACTAAATAAGGAAGCAAATTCACTTACCACTTGTCGGATTCTATCTTGCTCGTCATTAGGCAGGTGGTCGAGATTTAACCTTGGCGGTTCAACCTTTTCTACACGCACTGGTTTCATCGTCAGCTTAAGAGACGCTTCATTAAAATCCAGTGTAGCTTGTGCGTCTGAAAGAAAGTCTATTCCTAGTATTAAGTGTGCTTGCAAATTCTTTACTATAAAAAAACATCACCTTTACTTGTTCGTCCTTGATACGGATGTACAAAGGTACTTTACCTACGCACTTACATTGTTCTCCTTGCGCCGCTAATACTGTTGTATTATCCGCATTATATATGCGGTATTTGCGAAAATACTTTCTAAAAAAGACTTCTGCCACACAGGAACACTGCGCGCCGGTATCCAGGAGTGCGGTGGCCGGGATATTATTTACCAAGACTTCAATCTTCGGAAGAGTTAAATTTTTTTTCACCATTACTGTATTTAACTTGTAGGAAGAGGGGTTTTCGTGGCCTTCGGATTTCCGCACCCTCTCGTCAGCAGAAATCCGTTTTAGTTTAAATTATTTTTCCTTTCGGTGCTTTCCTTCTTTCTCCACTGGCCTTGAGACTTTTTTCCTGGGTTGCTATTGAACTGTCGACGTTCGCCGGCTGTTTTTTGAATGCTCGGGTTTCCTTGCCCCTTGCCCACTGATTCGCTTTTTCTCCGTAGCCATGTGCTTGAGTTTGCTGTAGTCTTGGCGTACCAAATTGGTTTCGCTGTTGATATTGGCGTCTTCTTTCGACGTCCGCCGTTTCTTCTACTTTCAAACTGGATTGCTAGCTCAAATAACTTTTCCAGTGTAGTCGGATTTCGTAATTCAATAAAGTCTTGCACTTGGGGTAGTAACCTCGGCAAAATCACTTGAATTATTTCAGGATCCGGACGGTTTCCATACAAGAGCTTGAAAACGTGAATTTTTTTTTCTTAAAATAAAGCTCGAGAGGTTTTCCATTCTTTGTTGATATATACTGAAAAGTTCTGTTTCTAATTTCGCACGATCCCTTACAACAGGGAAGGCTTTTAGTAGGGCAGTCTTGAAATTTTCGTAAGGTATAGGTGGGACTTCCTGCTTGACCCAAGAGACTTCTGCCGATACATTTGAACCAGTTAAGCGCTTGGCCCCCCTCAAAGCGCTGGTAGCTAAGGTAACTTTTTGAAACTCGTGCACGGGGTAGAGCATGAAGTGGTCATCCAATTTTTCCAAAAAAAACTGGTTACCTGTGAGTTTCCATTAAACGTTGCTTCTGGTTTCATCGAAGCGCGCATGGTCTGGACAATATACCCAAATCCTTCCAGGGCGGCAGCTGGCATTTCTGGATTCTGAGCTGTTTCTGCAGGCAGCAGCACAGGTTCTTCTTGAAACTCGGCCATGGTTATTCTTCGTCGGGCGCCACTATCAGGTTCAATGTTTCTTCTAACCTTCTTCGGAAACATACAATGACCTGACTAGAACAGAGAGCTTACTAAAGCTATGTTCACTAATTGTAGTAAGTAGACAGGATACAGACGAAGGGTATACAAAACCCTTTATTTTTTTTTTCTTATATACAATGACTTCCGTACTTCGGAATACAATGACCCTCCACTCGGGGTCTAACTTAAAAGATATCAAAATAAAACTAAACTCTAATTTAACTTTAGAATAAGATTGGCCTTATAATAACAGAAAGCGTATGTAGCACAGAGACTGTGAACACTACAATACGTTTAATTTATCAAGAGGATTAAAACCTCTGGCCTGGAAGGCAAAGTAGCAACTGCGTAACTTCTAAGGTAAGCGGCCTGCTTCGAACTCACGGCTTCCTCTCTCTGCTTGGCAAAAAGGCCACACTTAAATACTTGGCGTTCGCCAGACAATTTTGCATAAACTCCTTCACGCTTATAATTCTGGCCGGAAGTAGAAAATAAGAAGTGATAGTAAAGATTTAAAATAAAATAAACGTTAGTAAAACTTAAGATCCTTACAGTGTTACACATGGAACAACCAGCCCATTCATATGGGACTGAAACTGTGTTAAACCTCCCAAGATTCAATGGCCTTAAGCACTTGGCAACTATAGAATAGTTTTAAATAGAATATAATGAATATTTGTGCTTTTGTACAGTTACTAATTACTTTTATGAAGTATCACTGTATCTCTGATGTTTCTTGCTGGACACCCATCACAGGGATGTTTCGGCCTTCAGTCGCATTGCGCTCCATGCTACTTTTTCAATAAAGCTTCTTTTTATCCCTCTGATTTCTCTTGTAGTAAGTGTTGTTTACATTACGCATGTCCTTACGTATTAGGGATCTTACGGTATTAAATGTGTTGATTTGGAAAGCTTTTGTACAAAGTTATATTGAAACCGTCTCGTCCTTAATTTTTGCACACCAGTGTATATTGAGAACTTTTAATGTCTTGAAAGAATAAAATTGAATTAATAATTATGCTTTTAATGTTATGCTTTATAACATTAAAAGCATAATTATTAATTCAAGTTTACCATATTTATGCATGCTAAATTAATACCATATTGGTATTATTCATGCTAGACTTTAGAACATAGTTAAATAAGAATACAACAGTACTACTGCACTTAACATGACTTATATGCAAAATCTTAAATGATAATGGTGCTAACTGAAACCTTGTTAAAATTTAGGTATATACTTTTAGTGTTTGGAATTAAATGTAATGCTGTATATTATAATTTAGATTGCCATTTCAGGAACTGATCAGCAATTTATTTGAAATTTCTAAAAATGTTCATGGCAAAAAAGTTTTGATTTACTTGCTTAATCACCGTGATCCTCATTTTATTCACCCAGATGTGATTGCTATTCTTAAATATGGAGATGAACATGCAATAAGGTAAAATTGTGCTTCTTTGATAATAAAATTGATTTCAAGAAATTTTTTTAAAAAAATATATTGTGACAGTATTTATCATAAAGCTGAGAAGAGATATAATCACTCAATGTGCATAATTGGTCTCTACTCTGAGATTTTAAGAACAAGTATTATTAAATGTTAAATTATTTTTATTTTATAGAACTTTATAATGTTAGTTAAAAATTCCTTTAAAAAGACATGAGTATTAACAGATATTAATTTTTAGTGCCTCTTTGTTAATAAGTCCACTTTGTTCATGAATTATTTAGGCTTTCCCCCCTTTTTTTTCCCTTAAAGTTAGTAAAATGTTCAGCAGCAGTGAATTAAATAGTAATGTTTTCTATTTTCTTCACTGCTGTAATGTTACTGATAAGCATATGAAGATTTAAACCTTTTGCTCTTTTATTAATACCATCATTGCTTATGGTTTTTTAAAGTAAAAATTTCCGCCCTTTGAATTGTTGATTAATTGAAATTTTGCTGTGGCTTTTTTAATCGTCTCAGTAGCATGATTACTTTTATCCTGTGATCAGATTTGTTGTTTTTTTATGCATGTTATCTCATAGCTTAAAATATTTTTTGGTTTTATTTCCTTTAATGATGTAGATATCAACGTTATGAATGTAAAGACTGCAAAAACCATTATTCAAATTTAACTGATAACTTCTATGTAAATGCAGCTCATTAAGAGCAACTTCCAAAAAGCCTAGCTGCTAGGCTGTTAGAATAAATACAAAAATATTGTTTTATTATTATTATTTTGTTGTTAATAAAGTATTGTGTAGTTATTCGTCGTAATTGGTAATAGTGCATTTACTTTCATTTGGATGTGCTTAAAGTGCTTTGCTATTGTGTCATTGATGTATTCATTCTGTTTTCACTGAACATTAAAAAAAGTTTTTTTTAAAAAAAAATACTTATGAGAATAATCATGGGTGATAATTCTGATTCTCTTTTTTTCTCCCTCAAAATTTAATTTTTTTATTTGTAGAGTACTTTCTTTATGGCTTTTGATGCAAAGTTCAGTGTGTTATTGTAGTGTGAAATTTAGATTCCAAATTTCTTCCAAATTTCATGGTTTGGAAATACATGCAACCAGTGTTCAAGAACTGATGCTAATACTTTTTGTTCCTGAAAGTTTTACTTTTTTTTTTAAATTTCATAACACCATAATGCTATTTCAATTTCATCCTCCTGCACTATAAGAAATTTTTATAACCATCAATGCATGACATTAGCTTATGATTGTCTAAGCCTTTGAGATCTGGTGTTTCTTCTTTTCAGTTTTTACTATTAGTTTGTGTTTCATGATATCCATCAAATTAGTAGACAGCTTTAAAATTTTCACAACACAAACTTTAATATACAGATTTATTTACAAGTACAGTTTCATAGTTACAGAATTATTTACAAGTACAGTTTCATAGTTTTATATTGAGAACTAAAGAGACAAGCTCTCTTCATCGCAGCCAAGACGATCTCAATGCCAATTAAATTTTCTACATGTTTTATCTCTCTTGCCTGCATTTGAATCAATAAACTTTTTACATCTGAAAATGGATTGTGATTCAGTGCATCCTGATATACAGTTTGTCATTTTTCATTATTAGCTTTTTGAATTTTGGAGTTCATTCTTGTTTAAATTAATTTCCTTCCATACCTTTGTTTACATTTTCCAAAACTTGGCATCTTTTGTTTATAAATCCGGTGAGTTTTTCCCAGCTTGGTTATTCAGAACCTTATTCCATTTCGTGTAACTTACAAGTGTCAATAGAATTGAAAAATATTAAAATAGTTTCGCAAAGAGGGTTTCTTTGTAATTCCAACTGTTTTAATGATTGAAAATTTCTTTCGATTTTATCAAGCATCTGTCTTAAATTAGATGTGGATTCACGTTTAACTTTGTTTCATTTATATGGCTTATAATAAGCAACTGTGTATTTTCAAAAATTTTTTTCAATGCCTCAAATAATCATTTACCATAATTAGTTTTTTTGCATTAGAGTGCTGGTTGAAGATAATGTAACATTTGTTTTCTGACAACTGATGATTAATATCAATTAATGCCATAAACTATGATTTGAATGATAACCATTCAGCATATAACCTGAGAACTCAAGAAGATTATTTGATGGTAATTTTATTTTACAGTTGCTAGAGGATGGTTAACATTTGCAATAGAATTTGGATTAAGAAGTTTTTGAAAGCTTATGTCACATGTTCCGAGGTCAATGAAGCTTTTGAATAATATCCGTAATATCCGGTGGCACTTCATCTTGTAAAAATGACTTTATTCTCCTAATCTGCAATTTGATATATTCTCGTTTTCGATTAAAGACTGTTACTTGTGAGAGTTCAATGGGAGCCTTTTTTTCACTCTTCGTTTTGCCTTTGAAATTTTTGTGTTAAAAACAGTTCGAACTTCTCTGGCTTGGTGGACGATGTTTTGTGATATCCGTCAAATTAGTACACTGCTTTAAAATTTTCACAACACAAACTTTAATGTGCAGAATTATTTACAATTACTGTTGCATAGTTTCATTTCAAGAACTAATACAAGCTCTCTTCATTGCTGCCCTGACGATCTCAACTGCCACGAGAGCAGTGTTGCCACAAAAGTTCAAAGAAATAAATGTTAGCAACGAGAAGAACTTTACATTCATTACAGTTTGGCTGAAAACTTTAATATGTATCACTTGTTAAGAATTCGTGATAAAATGTTGTTTATCTGATAATATAAATTAATATAATAATGCGGCTATTTCTATATAAATCAATAATAGTTCATTAGTTCTTTGTATTTTTGTCATTTAATTATGTATTTTAATACTTTTGCAGCAAAAAGGATGCAGAAGTGCGATGTGCTGAGCTTAGATCATATGTTTCTGGGCCTTTTCTAGAATTAATCGTATCAAATATCCGCACGATGTATACAGATAATGCATTCTGTCTTTTTGTTGCAACAGTCTTAAAGTTTGCAGTTGGTAAGTTACTTAATTATTATATAATATTATTAAGAGTAATTTTGATTGAAGATTGTAAGTATTGAATTATTGTCTTAATTTTTCAGGAGACAAATCTGAAGCTTTCAAAGCAATAGCTGAATTGGCTGCAGTACCTTATACCTCTGAGACTAAAAATACACATGCTATTGAACATGCTGGTTCCAGTTTCATGTATAAACAACTAATTATTCAGGATAAAGAACGGGATTCTGGTTGTAAGTATGGTTTCATAAAATACATGTTTCATAAGATCATGCTAAATATCAGTGTATCAAACATGAAAATTGCAGTACTGTCAAATGTCTTTTAATGGTTACATTAACTGGCAGCTCTGAATCACTAGACTCTTGAAAGTTAGAGATCCAATGCACTCCCATTTTATAGACATTCCTGATAATGGATGAAAGATTTGGTCCCATGACAATCTGCTAATGGGAAATTCATTTCTACTCATTGAAATTTAATCTGCAGATAACCAAGCATAGTTTCAGGAGTTTATTATATAAATGATCAAATTATAACATTGCTAAAAAAAGAGATATCGTTAGTTTTATATATATATATATATATATAAACTGTTTAATCTTTGAATAGCATAACCTCTTTTATCCTTTCAAGCGATGTGTCACTGTGTATATGTTAAATTGATTTTTAAAACATTTTGTTTTTTAATATTTTTTATTAATCTAAATTGTAATGATGAAAATTACCATTAAAATAAGTAATTATGCAAATTTATTTAACCTTCTGAGCTGCGCAGGGTTTTAGATCTGTCATGAAGACAAGATATTCAAACAGCATTTACTATCTTAGCTTTATAATTACTTATTTTACTCTCTATTTTCATAAACTTGCATTCATTAAGATGATATTTACATTATTAAAGAAAGTAAATCTTAATTATAGGCTAATATATGCTGAGTAACAAAACTTCTCATGACTGGATAAAGCCTGTCGTGCCTCTCAGAGAATTATCAAAGGCCATCTAAATACTCATACTAAGTAATTTTGCAAATTTATTTAATAAATGCCATTCTTCGTCAACAAAAACCTGTGTTGCATAGTGAATTTTGTGTGATAACTTATAGAAATGTGTAACGGAACTTCATATGTGCAGACTAACTGGGACCACAACCCATCCAGACTTTTACAAAATACAGATATTTGGACCCCTCCTTTTTTAAAGGAAACCAAATATATATCAAAGCAAGAGAAAGATAATTTTATTTTTTCATATATCCTTAATTATTTTCACAAAATAATCCAGCTAACAAAATATTTTCTATTGCTACTAACAAAACAAAGTTCCTCCTTCATTATCAGAACAGCATGCTTCCTCTTCAATGGCATGCCAAAGTAAAGGAATATTTTATGCTCAAAGCAGGAAAAATGTCATTTTATTCCTCAAGAATAAAAATCATGTTCAGGAAATGAAATTTATAAGTCGCACACAATTATATGGTTTGTGAAAATACTGAAGAAATCTGTTGAATATCAACAGTTAGATAAGTGTTATCGTTTAATATCTACTGATAAGGGAAGTGAATCTTGATGCTCATGCAACATTCCTAATTAGATAATTCCAGTAGTACATTCATTATCATACTATATGTAATGTAAATGGATGCAAGCCCTTCACCTTCCTTTTTTATTTTATTTTAAAGATGGTATACAAAGTTTTAGAAGTTATAACTTAAATTTTTTTCCAAAAATTTATTTAAAAATATTTAAAGATTAAGAATATTTTTAAGAAATTAGAAAAAAGAGTGAATGTTATTTTTATTAAATCTAAATTCCAGATTATAAAAGAAGAAAGAAAAGAAGTTAAATTAAAAAAAAAGTTATTAAAGAGATGCAAAACTCAGTCAACATTATCAAGCTCAAATTTCGGTGCTAATTTAAAAATAAATTTAAAAAAAAAAACTTATGCTTTTTTTTATATGAAGTTTAGCACTTGGCATTATTAAAGGTACAAAATCAAAATATGGAAAAAAAGTATATATCATTTCAGGAAAACTCTGTGTCAAGATATGTATGTTAGAGCAAAGCTATATAATCTAATATATATCCTAAGTTGTACTTCCAAGACAGGTAAAAAGCAAGTTGAATTTCATTGCTTGTTCAAACAGAATGGGGGATATAGAACTATCCCCTTTTCTTTTTGCCTCATCATACCTAAACATTGGTAACTCATCCCAGGTTCAAATTCTGATGAGTGACTGTATAGTGTTTTTATGTTTTTTCCCATGTATGACTTAAATGTAAACCAGTTTCTGTTAGGAAGCTCTCCATAAAAGTATCCCTTGCTTAAGCATGCAGCCCTAATATGCTTTGCATAATGAAATAATTCAGTTCAAATGCTGAGCACTTTAATTTGTTCAAAGTTTATTAGAAGTGCATCAGTCTATAGATGATAGTATGAAATCCAAATTTTTATAATTTCTTTATTAGGATTTTTCCAGATTGTCTATGTAGGTAATATCACTAAGAAGAAAATGGCTCTGTTTATAATATTAATGTGGCATGTTTAAAATATTTTAGAAAATTACCTACCGTATTTGATGGCATATAAGATGCACTTTTTTTCCTAAATTTGGTCTCAAAAAAAGTTACCTGCGTCTTATACGTGAAGGACACAGTCTTATACCTGAAGGTAATTGCATTCAATAATTGTTTATTTGGCTTTTATGAAACGTGAGAACTAAAAGGAACCACGCTATTGAAACTTTTTTTCCTTGTGTGTGGCTGTCTAAATAAGGGTGCGTCTTATATGCTGTCAAATACGGTAATTACTATCTTTTGATTATTTTTGTTTTTTAAAAATGGGAAGTGTTGGTATTATAATTTCTGAAATTTCAAGACAGTGCATAATCTGGATTTTATTTATTCTGCAATGCTCTGTAAAAGGCTATGTAAAAAAATAATAAATATATTATTTAAAGAAAAATGAAAGAAGATATAAAGCTGTATAAAGGTGGTTTTTTTTTTCCCCCCAAGAATTGCTGAAAGGTGTTTGATTAAGTGAGATTTAAAATTATTTTCATTAAAAATATTTTTATTTTGTTTTATCCAATGGTACAAAAATGAAATTTTGTGATTATTAATTTAAATGAAGATGGTTTTGAACCATAGGCATTCCATAACTTGTAATCATTGGCATTGGCAGTGAAAAATCCAAACAAGTCATTTCAACATCCATTAATAGAGAAATCTAAATCAAATTTTGAAAGAAAAAAAATAAATAAACTTGCATATATTCATCACCCATATATCAGGTATGCCAAATTTTGAGCTTGAATCTGGACTATGTAATATACATGTATACACGCACAAATATCTTTTATTACACTGCTGGCCATTAAAATTGCAAGACCAGGAGGAAGGAATAATTTGATGAATTTCAAAATCACATGAAAGGAAGAAGTTGGGATGTGCAAATGATTAGTATTTCAGCACATTTAGACAACACAGGATGGAGAATCATCTGAAGCACTGCATTAAAAAAAGTTGTGTAGTGGATTTCTCATTCATAAAATGCTGTGTAAGGTTGGAATTTACTCAGAATACTGTGTTATGCCTGGAATAAGAAGAGGAAATACTTACCAGCAAGTTGCAAAATTCGATACAGTTTCAAAAATCTTATCGAAAGTGTAGATTATCATTTCATGATATTGCTGGTTGCACTGGTCGACATTTCAAATACTGTCATGTGAATTTGGAATCACTGGATTGCTGAGGGTCATACTGAACAGCATGCAGGATCTGAACGCCCTCCTATGACTAATGCCACAGAGAACGGACATAGTGTGAAGTCAGCTTTGACAAATCTGTATGACTACATCTCAGACCATCAGTCAGGAAATGGGCATGTTTGCAGCATGCCAAGTATCAGCTCATAAGGTGCATCGATGTTTGCAGCAGAGTGACCATTACTTTGACTTCCCTTAATAATGTAGCATAGAGAGAGGCGGCGACTGTGGTGCACCTAACAACAGAGCTAGGTACAGGAGTGTCACAGTGCTACCTTTTCAAACGAGCCCTGGTTCTACGTGAAGTATTCTGATGGCGTGTTCTGTGTGAAGTATTACATGTTTGGAGTGTCCGAAGAAACCGCATGTTGTCTGCTTGCATTCAATATTGGCCACAATATATTGCACCTTGTGGATAGTTTGGGTAGCCATTGGATACAAGACACACAGATTGGTACATTTGGGACCTCTTACATCCAGTGGGTGTGCTCTGTCTTCGAGGCCTCCAAACGCCATGTTCCAACAAGATAATGCAAGAACACATGTTGCACGTTGTGATCTGACCTTGCTCGATACACAAGGTATTCAATTGCTGCCCTGGCCCCAGATCTGTTACCCATCTGGTCATGGGTTGCTGAGAGACTGGCCCGCGACCCTTCTCCAACGAATACAGTTGCTGAAGTGTGGCATAGACTTGAAGCAGCATGGAACGAATTGCCCATTTCTGTCATCCAAGCCCAGTTTGACTCCATGCCTAATTGGATAAGGGCCATTTTAGCTTCCAGGGGTGGCAGCTGTTTCTGCTAATTTCGCACTCTTGTAAACCTCCAAAATGCTTACAAATTTAATCATTTTGTGCCATACAGTTTACGTGCAATAAATATCTTTTTTGTATTTGCTTTCCTTCATGGTATTGCATTTTAATGGCCAGCAGTGTATTTAGTAGAAGCTAAGAACTATAACATTGGTAATTCAATCAGCCAGTGAAACACTCAGCCATCAAGATACTGTGTGTTGCTTCATAATTAATTAATAGTTAAATGAGTCATTTATTTTTCTTATGTGTAATTTTTATAATAAATCAGCTAACTACTTCCACTATATATTGAAACCCCAAAAAGCATTTTAATTTATTCTTAAATATTTTTTATATTAGTCTTAAATATTCTTCAGATGTGAGTTATGGTAGCCTTTTTATATTTTTATTGTATCCCGTGCTCTAAACCAATGGTCTGAAACTCGTATTTCAGCCTAAAGCGCAATCTGAAAGCAGTTGATAAGCCAGATTTTTTTAACAAAGTCAAATATTTTAAACTAAATATTAAATTCTATTTACTAAATATTTATCAAAACATGCATAGTAATAGTAATGATGTGAAGAAAGAATTTAAAATTATATTTATTTTCTGTCTGAAATCTAAAGGTAACAAATTTCTGTTAGTTGCACTCTAATTCAAATGTATTGACAGCTAAATATTATATTTTCAGACTAATATTTATTTGGAATAATTCTAAAATATTAGATTAAATGCTAAATAATTTATTTTAAACTTCAAGTAAACAAATTACGAAAACTTTCCAAGTAACAAAAAACTTCAGTACAAATAATTACGACATGGTGTCTTTCTCTTTGTATTTTAAATTTTCTTTGATTTGTGCAGAAAAAATTAGTGTATTTGTAAATTACGAAAACTTTCCAGGTAAAAAAAAAAAAAAAACTTGCTTATAAATAATTACAACATAGTGTCTTTCTTTCTGTGTTTTAAATTTTCTTTGATCTGTACAGAAAAGAAATATGTGTATTTGATAAGTATAAACTTCTTTATTTTTTACTACAACTGTCAGCTACAATGCCTCATAGCATTTAATTTTTATAAAGTTTGTAACTGGGGAGAAAAATTACTAGAAACTATTTTTATCACGAACTGTAGACACTCATATGTCGACTTGGTTCATTTCAACTGTGAAAAAACTGTTCATATATATGTGCACTCCCAAACAAAATGAATATTTTTATTGCTATAATTCATAAATGAGAGTATTTATCTTTTAACAAATAGAAATGAAACTTTTTCAAGTCTGTATCTTAAATCTATGAACAAGAGTTATACTGTCTCTATTTGTTAATTAGATCCATTTGTACTCAATTTATTTTTGGAAGTGAATATGCTTTAAAATTGGACTCCAAATCATTAAAATCTTAAAACATTTTCTTCAAATTTTTGTCATAATGAGTTTTAAAGTCATAATAGTATATTTGATTTGTGGGAAATATATTCGCAGACTGTGTAAATGTACTTCAAGGTCCACATGCAGGCTGCTTTTCTGAGACCATTGTTCTAAGCTGTTACCATTTTCTGAAATTGTGTATATTTCTAGAAACTTAAGAACAATGTTAAATGACTTGCTGTTATTATTTTTTTTTTCAGCTGTGAGCCTATTTTAATTTTTTGATGCTTTAATCTTATCCCATTCCCTATATTACTATCATTTGTTAAATTTTTTAAAATATATATGGTATAGATTTTCTGAAAAAAATGTAATGATGTGTCAAATTTTATATTTTAGCAACTTTTAGTGAGATTCTTGTGAAAACTGCTCCTCAGGGTGTAATGAAATCTTGGGCAGAGTGTAATAGAGGAGCATTCTTATTGGTCAGGTAATAAATTTGTTTTTTAAAGATTTTATTATAAATGTCTTTAGAATATATATTTTTGTCTTTTAGGATAAAAATTTCTTATATATTAATGTCTTTTAGAATATATATTTTTGCCCTTCATCTTGCTTAACTTTTTATGATAGCTATGAAACTAAGTAAGATATTGGCTGCAAGAATATGTATGTTTTACTTCTCAATATTTTTGATAGAATAATTGCAAATTAATGGAAGAAAAAGTAATTTTTAATTTGTTTTGTTCTCACCCAAAGTAATTTTTCTGCATTTATTTGCAACTAATAGATTTTATTTTTCATAAAGTCATTCATATCAAATACTAGCATCAAGCGCATTGAGTAAATGGTAACTTGCCATAATTAACAGCAGTTTTGAAATTTGACTATTCAAAGGCAAGTGTATTTATGGAAAATGGCAAATGAACTTACCACCAATTGTGAGGTTTGGTTGAAGGTCCTATCATATTCCTTGAAAAACTATTTTTTATAGTTCAAATGTTGCACCTGCTATTTAAGTAAATAGAAAACATCTATTGCTACAGTGTGAAAAAATATTTTCAAACATTTTGTGTTTCTAATTTTATAACAATAATTCAGCAAAAACCCTATTATTTATTAGCATTAATGTACATGTTTATGTGCATATTTCTTCTTTCTTAAATAAGAAGCAGAGATTCACTGTTTATAAAGACATGTTAGTTAAAACAATAGTCTTTATTATATTCCCTGTAAACTGTGCTGAGTTTTTGTTGTGCATATGTTTTTATATGTATTTCATAGAATTATGCACATGTTTTTATTTTCTTAGTCAATTACAGAATATTAACATTCAAAATATTTGTGATGATTCATAAGATGTGCTATGTAATACATTCTGCACTGAAGAACTAAATTTTTGCATTGCTCAGTTATATGAATATCTCTGCAATATACAGCTGTCAGTAAATTGAATAACCACATTACTCGTCATTTTTATTCAAGGGGACTTTTTAATTAATAAATGATTGGTTTAAAATTGACTGGCTCAGTGCTTTCATGCATGATTGAATAAATAATTTCTTAATATTATTATTTTTTTTATTTTTTATTTTTTTTTTTTTTCCATAGTTAGAACAGTTATGTCTAAAAATTCATTAGTCTTTGGAAATATGTTACCAAAGTTTTATTAACCATGAAAATGAGTGGCATGCTGTAATCTTTGATGAAGTTTTAAATAAAATTAAAAATCTACCATAAAATGTTCATTTCCTTAAATGTAGTATTTAAAATAAATTAATTAACAAGAGAGTGAGTGATATTGCATTTTACTTTCACAAAGTATAAACATACAAACTGTTTCCAAGTTGGAGAAATAACTATGTAAATACCACAAAACTCAAAGATCACTCCAAAAGCATGAAAAAAATTTTTTTTTAAATTAAAGCAAATGTGATTGCATTTCTGAGAGCATCTTCATTATGGGGTTTGTGTATCGAGAAATGTAAAAGAAAATTATTTTGTTTCTGAGCTAACACATGCATAATTCAGATATTTTATATTTAAATGAATTTTAATTGGAAAAAATTAACTATATTTTGCATTTACTAGCTTAGCCTAGACAGAACAGAATAGAAAAAAACTTGGATTAAATTTTAAATTACAGAAAATTGTAATGGGAAAGTTAAGTCCAAAACGTGGGGGAGGTATTCTCTTCTACCCTTAAACATGCTATTATTCCACATTTTTCAAACTAGTTTTTTTAGTACACAGAAACATTCCTGGTTTTATAAAATTTAAGAAGATTTTAAAGTAAAAAAAAATTACACCCTTATTTTTCTTCAAGCAGTCAGATTGCCCCTCTCCCAATACCATTAGTGAATGTTTCTTACTTATTAATGCTGCCGCATTGTTGTGAGTCCTAGAGGTTCTCCCCACATAATGTTTCCTGTTGTAAACACTCATTTTCTCCACTTTTAACAGTCAGTGACAAAAATGCTGCATTAAAATCTGATCATTTGTGTGGCTTCATAATCATTCTCTGCAGTCATCCATATTGCACTTGTCCATCTGTGTAATGATTGTTGCAGCATAAGTGAATGCAAACACGAGCACTCATGGTGCAACTTAACTTCATGTTGTAGGTTAGTTCCATTTTGGTTAGTGATGTAAGCTGCAATATGCGAGCTTGATTTGAAATTAAAAAATTAGGTTTTGAGTTTAATATATTATTCAGCATTTCCTCATACAATACACAGTAACATACTACTTTTTTCAAACATGTAACTGTGTTTCTGACTCACCCTGTCTATGTGTTTGTATATATATATATGATGTACCAGCTTTTATCAGGAATAAATAAATTGTTGAAGAATCATAAATGTAGTCGTAGCTTAAATTATCGGACGATAAGTTTAAAAAACAGGATCCATTTATTATTGTTCAGGAGAAATAGCAGTTACAAAATCAGATATCCGGAGTAAATAAAAAAAAAGAACTACTAATAACATTTTTATGAAGTTTACTGCATCGTGACATTTAAGAAAAAAGCCCCGATATTCTTTTGCGGGTCCTTTTATAGCCTCTAGAAAGTCGGAGCTTCCAAGAAATGACGTCAGCCAATCCAGTTCGCTTTAAATATTTCCAGAACATTCTATAACTGTACGTGTAGAAAAGGCGGCAAAAACAACTTGACTACGGGGCTGTGGATTTAATTCCACGTACTTTCAAATAAGAGAACATCGCTATTAAAAATGAAAAGAACATACAATTAGAATTTTAAGAGTAATTTTGACTACGGAATTTTATTATTACATATATATGTAATGATAGCACAACATTTTTGAATATTTCATATTTTTTAGAATGATGAATTCGCAGATACTGTTTTACAGAAACCCAAATAAGGAATAAATGTTCCTTTGAGGTTATTAGCATGTAATCCATGGTGACTAATAAATGTGACTAATAAAATTTGAAAGCATTGATGTAAGGACACTTAAGACATAGAAGTGCAGAAGTACTGATGGCGTAGATACTTGATGCTTAGAGCGTCCATCCATTTTGAAGAACTTGATGCTTAGAGCATCCATCCATTTTGAAGAATAAACAGTCGAGCCGAATTAAATTCCGTATTTATTTAAATTCATATTTTGGTGGCCACAATTCACTTGGCACTCCAATCATACCTATTTCCAGAACATTTGCAGTTTTGATACTATAGCGATAGAACATTGCTGCAGTGTCTTAACAGGAGGAAAGCATAAGCCAGAAGAGAGAGTGTCTCAGTAGTAATGCAAAGGAAGAAGGAAGACAAACATTTTGGTTTACAATTTGGTGATTGGACAAGAGGCATCTGCAGTAAGTGTTACTTAAGATCGCATGATTAATCTGAATGATGCAGTTTAGATTTATAGCACTATTTCTTAGACAGAAAGATGAAGCCCCGAAATTTAATAATAAAGGTTATAGCTGATTAAAATTAGAAGTTTGCTTAGGTCATTTAAATATATAAGTTATTTTGAAGAAAATTGTTTTTGTTGTATGAAATATATAATAACTCAGAAATAACTGATAAATTAATTTGTACAATGTATTATCTTTGCAGCCTTTTAGAAACATCAGTATCATTAGTTGTTGATAGAGTCAAAGAAGAAATGGATGGTTATAAGAAACAGTTAGCAAAGAAGTCTTTCAAAGGAGCAGAAATACTTTTGAAGAAACTTAAAGAATGATTGTAAATATTACTGTATAATTAAAAAAAAATTTTTTTTTTAAACAAAACTTATGGCATTTTTAATTTACAGTCAACTCTTGTTACAATCAAATCAGATGTAGGAATCAGTGTACGAACCAACACAATTGTTCAAGTATTCTGGAAACCATTTCTTTTTCTATTGATATCTCTGAGACTGCAGCTGTTGTTCATATTAATGAGAGTTCAATGTATTTCAGTTTGAGTATAATAATCTCAATAAGTACTTTTTGTAAATAATGCAATAATCAAAATATAAAACTGGAAGTCATTAGTTGTAAAAATACTAAAATAATAATTATCACAAAATTCTTAAAATGTAGTGTCAAGTTAATAATTCACACATTTTAGAATGCAGTTTTATTTGCTTGCAAAGTTGCATCTTAAACAAGAAATTAGCATTGTTAACTTTACATATTTTAACTTGTTCTCTTTGTAAATTATATCTTTTTATTTAAAAGAAGCTTTGGAAAATAGAGTAAAAAAATGGCACATAATTTGCATTAAAACTTTCAAGTGTCTTGTTCTTTAAGTTTTGAATGAAATAGAATGAGAAGACAAAAAGTCAATTAACAGCAAATATAATTAAAAATGCGCATCATTAACAAGTGCAGTTAGATTAAAACTATTTTAGCATATGCCTTTAAAGGCTTTAAAATGCTAGAAGATTATAAATTAAGGTAATAAGTTTTCCTCCAATTTTTCTGTTTCATAATGTTGAATATAAGCCCTATAGTTATGGCTCTGATGCTTAGAAGAATTCTTTGTTGAGCATTAATGTGATTATTAAAAATTTCAGCATATATTGCACTCATTGATAGTTTTAACTGATATATAACAACAAGGTTAAAATATTTCTTACCATCAGTTAAATAAAAATGGAATTTGTGACTTATAGACAATATATAAACGATTAATAGTTGATGTTTGAGAACGAGTAAGCATAACTGAGCCAACTTTTAATTACACTTTTATAGGGAAAGATATTAAAAAATTAGGAATTAAATAAATGCACTTGCAAATGTAGATAATAGTAATATAGTAAAAATTATTGTTTCTAGTGTATAAAGTTTTCAGATTATGATTTACATTGCTTAAATTATTATTAATAGAGGTGGAATAGATGTTAAATTTTCTCAAATTTGGGCCTAAATCCTTCAAATGAAAGCAGTAATAATGATTTTTTAAACTTTGTATTAGTTTTTTTTGGTGGGGGGGTTAAACTTTGTATTAGTTTGCATTAGACATTTTTCTATAGCAAAGTTTGAAATCTGTTTTCTGTCAAAAATGTGATTTTTAAAAATACAACCACATTAATTAAGAATATACAAATGAAATATAAATTTGTAATTAAAATTTTAACTATGAGATTAATTTTCTCAATATAATTTCATAAAAATTTTTCAATAACATTTAAAATTCAACAGCCATGATTTGGATTTTGCTGCCAGAGTGAACTTGTAATGCACCAAATGTTTTTACACATACATTTGGAAGTTATGGCAGAGGCTATTAGTAAGTTTAAAAGACAGCCATGTTTTAGTAGTTCAACTACTAGACAACTCAGGTCATATAAGGTGCTAACTTTATATATTGTGGCATGAGCTTTTAGAACTTCAGGACCTATCATTAATAATAAGTCAAATATGTTCAGAATTATCAGAGCTATTCAATAAGAAGTACTTTGAAGAATTTTCTAGAAAGCTCAGTTTACTGATTGCTTGAAATTTCCAGTAGATTTAATTAGATGGCATTCTAAAAGAGTGTGTTATTACTCTGCATTTCTGTCATCACGTACCAAAGATGCTTTTCATTTCCTGAAAGTTTCATTTGGTCCTGATTTCTACATAATGTTGCTATTCTCCTAATATGAGTGCATATATACATGATTTATTCAATTGAAACTATGTGGATATAGCTCTATAAGTGTTAAATGTTGTTGGTGATCAACTGTGGCTGTCAGCCACCAGTTCATGATGTCACTATCAGGTGGAAAGGCTTTTATTCTAGGTCTACTTCTTTATAATAGCCTTAATTATAAGTATTAACACCCAACAAAGTAAATGAAGTGGTGAATGGTTGTATTTTGTTTCAAGATCGTATTTGTTCAACTTTTGCATGGAAATAGCTCATATCAAGTCTATTATCATCAATCTGTGAGTGAGAAAATAAAGTATTTATGATGTTGAAAACTGAACCTAAGTTTGATGCCCGGTGAAGTAGCTGGCTAGGGGCATGGTTGGTTTTCATGGTTTCTTCTATGTGTAATGTTGAATATATGCCATTTTCCCTTTGAAAGTCTTTCATGAAAATTGGCATTTAGCCCTCGTGAGCATTCCAATATTTGAATAACACAAACTGATGAGAATGTAGTATAATGATGTGGCCAGAGAGACCAATATTACATGGGTTGTTTCTGTGGAAAAATTCAGAATCTTTTTTTGAAGATGTTTCATACATCAAAAACACTTAATTATTACAGATCAATAAGATTCTATATTTCTAATGACATAGCTTGAGGGTGAGAGGAAAGTTCACTCTGAGCGACACTTTTTGCATTACACATAACTTAATTCTTGGATTGGTCTTGAGTTTTTATGTTAACTTATATTAGCATGTTTTATTATTTAAACAATTTGTTTTTAACAACCACACTTTCAAATAAAAGAACAATTGCAAAAAATAAAATATAAATCTAACAAAATCATTTCCTTTTTCTATTGTACCTGCATTTTGTATTAAAAGTAAAACAATGAAACATGGGGCTAAGCTATTATTTACTTGCTTTTATTATAGCAGTTTTTCTTCAAAAGCATTTTACACAGTCATTATACAATGCAAAAATTCACTGCTTTTTTAATCCCTAAAATTCTTAGTTCATTATTAGTTTTTTAAATTTTTTACAGATTTATATCATCATCAAAAATGTTCGAAAGGTACTTTTTGTATTGTTTATGCATTTTAGTCGAGAACCATGTTATCCAATTCATTTGTTACTAGAGCAAATGAACAAGTGAAATGTGTTTACTGGGATAGAAAAGCATTTAAATTTTTAATCAGTTAAAGTTGTAAAAAAGGGCATATATTTTATTACATGCACCTGGAATTTTTACATTTTAAAATCCCCCCCCCTTTTTTTTAAAGAATATTTTCTGTTTCTGTTATTTTAGATGCTTAAGACATGAAATTTTTTCTGTTTTATGCAGAATTCTGTTACCTCTTTTAGTAGTTTATTTATTTTTCACTATTGCAATATAAATGTTTGTGTGCAAGTGAACTAATTTTAAAAAAGATGTGTTTACCCATTTGCAATAATAAAAGGGTGAAGATTTGGAAAGTCAGCATTTCTTGCAAAGCTGTTTTCAAGAAGGGGGAAGATATTCCTTTTTCATACACATGAAGGTGCAGTTGATATGGCAAAGCACACTAGGGCTTTCTGCCTTAGGGGAGGGATTCCTTCTTGGAGAACTTTCTAAGGAAAACTGGCTCTTATACATGTTACACATGGGGAAAACCCCATTTGCCTGGAATCCAACCCAAGTTGGAGCTACAAATGTTCAGTGATTTTACCGCTTCGCCTCTGGTGGGCCTTAGGCACATCAACAATGGCATTTATCATGCCATTTGTGTTATGGAGAGCTTCAGAGACAGTCGTAACAATATACTGCACATAGTCATCTTTTTTAATTATAGACGCTGGGTCAATAGTATTTTGCATCCTGTGTCCAAAGAATTGTTATATTGTAACTGAAGCTTCAGTTGCACATACTAATTTATTTTTCAACCTGATGCACGGATATCTTCAATTTGTGAACACAATAAATGAGTGGCAGTGAATTATTATTCTTATTTTGCATCATTTGTTACAATATTCATTATAATATTAATTATACCATTATCTGTTTTTCTTTGCCTGTCAGTGATACTGTTAAATTTAGTTCATTTATAAAAATAAAATAAAGAAAATTTTATGATTAAACTTTTTACCTTAACATGAAATTTCACATTTTTTCATCCATTGAACAATCATCAGTTGATGTGGAGAATGGCATATGTTTTAATGCACATACATTGTGAGCATAACATTTCTATTGGGTTGATATTAGAAATATTTTATATCATCACTGGCTGTAATTACAAAAGTGTCACTCTCTTACCTTATTTCAGTCTGCCAGTGATGATGTTCTAATTTAGTTTATTCTAATGGTAGTTATCTTTGAAATATCTTTGAAATTTTTTAATTCAAAACAATAACATCAACTTCTTTCATGCAATAAATATACATCAATCAACACATTGAATTATGTTTATATAGAAAGCAGAAAATTTCTAGTGGACAGCACTAAAATCTAAGTTTAAACAAATATTTCGTACTGCCATGTTTTTCTAGCAGAAGAAGACCAAGGAGGTGAAGTAAATATACCACAACCTCTGACAATAATTGTTATTATTAGGTGTGAGAAGACTTTGTCTAAGAAAAAAATTGATTTAAAATTCTTAAAATCTACTTTTTTTAATACCTTGCATTTATGAAATTTTAACATACTGTGTACAGAACCACAAGTAAGTATTGAAATAAGGCACCTTCTTTAACCCTTTGCGGCTCAGTGTTCCACTACATGGAACACCTAAGTTGAATCGCTTCTGAAACCTTTAAAATCAACCGTAAATAGATAAAAATGCCTTTATAATATACTTTGAACTTTTCTTTTTAAACAGTAGATAGCAGCATATCACAAGGAGACACAGAATTTTCTTTTATTAGGTGTTATTAAAATCCACTTTTTTTCAAGTAATTTTCTCTATTTTTTAATGATATAAAAAATTTTATTTGGAAAAAAAAAATTAGGCATAATTTTGCTGGCTGTACTCCAAATTATTTGTTCTATATTTTTTTAATCTTTCATACAAAAACCATACGCAGAATCATTGAATTACACCGGGTGTTCCATTAGAGGGAACACAGCCTTTAGCAATCTCATAGAATATCCGTTGTTTACGTTTTCTGTTTCCATTGTTTTGGCGGGGG